GGGGCAGTGACCCAGAGTGGGGGTGGGGGGGCGGTCAGGATTGGGGGGCTTGGGGGCAGTGCCCCAGGATGGGGGGCTTCTTTCAGAGAGGGAATCCAGCTGTTCCCAGCCTTTTCTTCTGTGAGGAGACAGTTGTTGGGGGGATGTGTTTTACACTCTGGCTGTTTGTACCTATAAGCGCCTCATCCTCTCACTGTGGGGAGCAGTGGCAGTGAATGTGGGTCACTTCAGCTTTCAAACGTGCTCAGGGTCAACCAGGAGGGTGGGCAAGGGACCCAGGAGCTAGACAGGGCAGCTCCTCAGATGACCAGAGGCCTCATTCCAGATTCCAGGCTGCTCTAGAAGTTCTGACATTGTTGGGGTGCCCTATAGGGTTCCCTGGGTCAGATGCCCCCCATCTCCCAGATTCTAAATGAAGCTTGCAAATTGAAGTTAGGATGTCGACATCAGTCCAGCGTTCGCGTGGAGGACAAAGGCGGTGTTCCGGGGGGAGTCAGGCTCGTCCCCCCGCAGCTAAGTGGCCGAGAAACTGGAAGACTTTCCAGTGACCTGTGTACTCACAGACTCCTGCGCCCCCGGGGTCCCTCGTCCCTTCCTCACAGGCTCAGAGGGGGAGCAGATGAAGAACAGAAGGTGAAGGGAGTCAGAAACCTCTCCCGGAGGTAAGAGAGGGCAGCTCTCTTCCGGGCTAGGATTCTCAACTCCCATTCCTTGCCTTCTAAATAGTGAGAAAAGAACTCTGTGTGTTAAAGCCACCCCTTGTGGAATTTCTGTTACATCAGAACTGGAGAACAGAGACAGAGGTCATCAAAAGTCTTCAAATGTGGATGGGTTTGCTCTATTTTCTCAAAACATAAAAAAGAAAATTCTAAAAAGACTTTATTTGACTGAGAAAGATGGGACAAATAATGTATACTGCATTGAAACTGATGAGGGAGGAAACTGTTTCAAAGGGATATGTGATTAGGTATTTTTGTCATGATGGGAGTCCAGAACGAAGGTTGCATAGTGGAGTGGACTTGGGGGGAACCTCAACAATGTAAGAATTCTTTTACTTTTCAAAGAGAAGAGCGAACTGGGCAGGGGGAGGTTGGGCAGGGAGAAAAGTGCAACAATGAACGAATGGAAATCCAAAGTCTGTAAACTTTCATCAAAATTAGTAATAATATTTTTTTTTAAAAAAGACCTCATTTGTCTGTCCAGTGAGGCCGGAAATGTCTACACTTTTTTCCTAATCTCGGAGCCTCCCAAGGGCTCGAATGTCCTGCCCACCACCCCCTGAAACCCGTCTATTTCTAAGGGAAGCTTGGAATTGGAATCCAGCCTCTGAAGTGCTAACTGGGAATAGACGTCATTCCCTGAGCCTCAATTTCCTCCTGTAAAATGTGGATAAGCGGCATTCTAGGAAGGTTGACGCGGGAACCCTCCTCCCTCAGCGGCGGGGACACTCACTTGACGGCGTAGGTCATGCGGTCCGGCCGCATGCAGCGGACCATGCACAGTTTCTGCATGGCTGTCTTGTTCTTCCACTCCTTGGGGAAGATCTCCTTTTCTGGGGCTTCCGATTCCACCAGCTTCTTCCACCTCTTGGCCGAGCCCTCAATGTCACTGTCCAGGTTTTTGAACTCGTCCATTTCCGAGAGGGCCTGGGGACACATGTGACAACCCATGCAATCCTTTCTGTTCTGCCCAAGTCCGCCAGGGTCCCCCTTAGAAGGGGGCCACCATGATGCTTAGTGTTCATCTCAACCTTGGCATGCTCAAGGCCAGGGGAGAAGCCACGCAGGGCACGGCCTTCTGCTTGGGAGGTCAACTGAAGGGCCAGGAGCCCGGGGGCACAGCAACTACACAGCTGCTAGCCAAGGTTGGTGGTTCGAACCTAACTGCTCCGTCACTGGGCCATCTACCCCCATAAAGATAAAAAAGAAATGAAACAAGACCCAGTGCCAAGCCGACCCCAGCTCCTCTAGGACAGGACAGCCCTGCCCCATGGGCCTCGAATGCTTGGCAGAGCCTCCCGAGCTGGATGGACGCACACAGCCTCCTCCTTCACCGCTCGGGGAGCTGGGCGTTTCACCGGAAACATTTCTCTCAGCAGCTAAGCACTTACTCACTGAAGCGGGGGTTCCTTTTCTAACCCTCACTGCCCAGGAGTCACTTGTGACTCACAGCGACTCCATCGCTGTCTTTCTGGATGTGGAGAACAGGGCACATCACCACGGTGGTGCTGACACGGCCACAGAGGGCCCTCGACAGGGAGGGCCAGACTCGGGCCACATTCAGCTGCTCGGTGCTGTTCAGTTCCCACTCGGAGCCACCACACGTGTGGAAGACGGAACCCTGCCCGCTCCTGGGTCATCCCCGGTCACTGCAGAGCCCTGGCCCGGCCTGCAGCCTGGTCATCCACCTCGTCCAAGGGCTTCCTGCCTCCCCTGAGCCTCTTCTTTACTCAGCATGTCCCTCTCCAAGACTGGGTCCTCCTGATAACATGTCCAGAGAGCAGGCAGCAGAGTGATGCCACCCTCCCACCCTGCCCTCTTCCCAAGGCACATCTCTTTCTCTTCATGATTGAACAGTTACTGTTCCACAACATACTCCTCACAATTAGTAAGCTGTCGAGATTAGCTAATGTCACGGGCAAGCAAAATCTTGCTGAAGGTTATCCAAAATGACCGGAACTGCCAGAAATACAAGCCGTGGCACTACAAATATCATTGCTAATGCCAAATGCATCCTGGGTGAAAGCACAGAGCACCAGAAGAATGTCTATCTGTGTTCTATTGACCATGCAAAGGCATTTGATCACAGCAAATTGTGGCTAACCCTGAGGAGAATGGGAATCCCAGAACACTTGATTGTGCGGATGCCAAACCTATACCTGGATCGGGAGGCAGTCGTGTGAACAGAGCAAGGGATCACTGCACGGTTCGAAATCAAGAAAAGCGTGCATCAGGGATGCATCCTGTCTCTATGCGTTTTCAATCTATATGTGGAACAGATCATTCAAGAGACTGGACTCCTGAAGAAGAAAGTAGCATCAGGATTGAAGGAAGCCTCATCAATAACCTGTGTTATGCAGATGACACGTTATTTAACGAAATGAGGAGAACTTGAAGTGTTTACTGCAGAAGCTCAAGGACTGCAGTCTTCAATATGGATTGAGGCTCAATATCAAGAAAACACAGATTCTCACCACAGGGCCAATTAGCAGCATCATGAAGGATGGAGAAGAGATTGACGCTGTTAACAATTTCAGCTTGCTCAGCTCCACAATCAACACTATCGGCACCACCAGTGAGGAAATCAAAAGATGAGTTGCTTTGGAAAACTGTGCTGTCAGGGACCTCTCCAAGGTGCTAAGGAGCAACGATGTCAGTCTAGAGACCAAGGTGCGTTTTATCCAAGCCATGATCTTCTCTTACTTGCAATGTACTCTGAATGACTTTCTATGCATCTGAGAGCTGAACAATGACTAAAGATGACAGGAGAAGAACCAATGCCTTTGAGCTGTGGTGCTAGAGGAGAGTAAGGAAAATACTATAGACCTCCAAGAGAACAAACAGGTTTGTGCTGGAGAGGGTGAAACCAGGCTGCTCCTTGGAGGCAAGGATTTTGAGGTTCCGTCTCACATACTTTAGGGCATGTTGCCGGGAGGGACCAGTCCTTGGAGAGGGACGTCATGTTTGGAAGGGTGGAGGGACAGCGCAGGAGAGGAAAACCCTGGATGAGATGGACTGACACAGTGACTGGTGATGAGGGCAGGTGTGTCAGGGACATTGAGATTGGCTAAGACCGGGCAGAGTTCAGAGCTATTGTTCACAGGGTGGTGGTGAGTTATAGTTGACTTGATGGCACATAACAACAATAACAACAGAAATTAGCTATGATCCACAGAGTCACTAAACACAAGTAAACACCTTTCTAGTCAGCATTTGTAGCTTCAGTCAGCATTTGTATGATGTCAACAATGATATCCCTTATTCCATGTCACATCATTACGGCTCCGGAAACCCAGCAAAGTGATGAGAAAGAGACGGGATGCTGCGTCATTACTGATGTCAGATGGATCTTGGTGGAAAGCAGAGAATCCCAGAAAGATGTTTGTGTTTTATTGACTATAGAAAGATATTCAGCTGTGTAGATCATAATGAATTATAGGTAATACTGAGAAGAATGAGAATGCCAGAACACTTAATTGTGCTCATGTGGAATCTGTACAGAGACCAAGGGGCAGTTATTCCACCAGGACAAAGGGATACTGCGTGGTTTAAATAAAAAAAGGTGTGTGTCAGGGCTGTGACATCAGGATTAGAGGAAGACTCACCAGCAGTATGCAGATGGAACAACTTGGTTGCAAGTCTTCTTCTTGATGTATGCATTGCAGCAGATCAAAGACTTTGTCTTAAAAATGGATTACATCTCCACACCAAGAAAACAAAAATCCAGCAGGCAACTTTATGATAAAGGGAGAAAGGACTGAAATTGCCCACAGTTCTTTTTACTTGGTTCCACAACCAGCCCATGAAAGCAGCAGTTAAGAAATGGAAAGATGTGTTTTATTGGGAAAACCTGCTGCTGAGGATTTCTCAAAGTGCTAAAGAGCAACGATGTCCCTTTGAAGACTAAGGTGCACCTGTTTCAGACCATGGTCTTTACAGTTACTTCCTATGCATCTTAAAGTTGGACAGTGAACAAGAATGACAGAAGAACAACTGATGCCTTAGAATTGTGAGGCTGCAAAGAGTGTAGGATGATGGCCAAAAGGACAAAAATAAAAATGTGTCCTGGAGGGAGGGTAGCATTAGTGATTGGAAGCAACAACAGGGAGATTCTGTCTTACACTCTTTGCACATGTTACTAGAAGGAGCCAGTTCTTGGCGAAAGACATCATGCTTGAGAAAGAGGGTCAGTGAAGGAGAGGAAGCCCCTCGAGGACACAGCCTGCCAGGGTGGCTGGAACTACAGGCCGAGGATGAGGATGGCGCAGGTCGGGCTCGTGCTGTTGCACATGAGGGCCTGGGATTCGAGCTGACCGGAGGACATCCAAAACCTTTTTAGGAGCAGCGTAGCACAGTGGTTCAGAGCTGGACTCAGGACCACAGGTACCGAGCTCCAGATGCTGTCTCACCTTCTCAACCTAGACTCGAGGCAGGTTCCCTAGGCTCTGTGTGCCTCAGTTTCTCTGCTTGTAAAACCCCCACTGCCTTCTGCTTTGGCTCTTTGGACTTGAACCCAGGAGAGTCCAGCCTTGGAGAAGAATATCAAGCTCGAACAGTGGAGGGTCAGTGAAAGGCAGAAGGTCCTTCTCCAGATGGATGGATGCAGTGGCTGCAGCGGTGGGTGCAGACAAGGCCTGGGCAGGGCCTGTGCCTGCTATTCGTGGAGCCACTATTAGCCAGAATGGACAGGGGCACCTGAGAACAACACTGCGGCGTTCAAGGCTTCCTGCTGGCGGGAGGGACTCACACATCTTTAAGTGAATAGCTGAGCGCTTAGCCACTGCGTCACCAGGGCTCCAGGCCCCGTAAAGGTCCGCAGGCTTGGGAAACCTAGGGGCTGGTGCTGCTCTGCCCTACAGGCCACTACAGGAGACCCAACGAGAACCCGTGAGGACGCTGGCCTCTTCTCAGTGCACTGCTGCTTTAGGCCTTGATGGGGACGTGGGCCCCAAGAGCTCAGGTGGGAATGTGAGAAGCGCCCTTTGCACTTTCTGGGAAGCAGGGGTGGGGAGGGATGTCCTGGCACTCTGAGACCGGCCTCTCAGCTGCTCTGAGCAAATGGGAAGGGTGGTGATGTCCCTGTGGTGGTGACGTCTCTGTGGAGGGTGGTGATGTCTCTGTGGAGGTGACGTCTCTGTGGAGGTGACGTCTCTGTGGTGGTGACGTCTCTGTGGAGGGTGGTGATGTCTCTGTGGAGGTGGCGTCTCTGTGGTGGTGATGTCTCTGTGGAGGGTGGTGATGTCCCTGTGGAGGTGACGTCTCTGTGGTGGTGACGTCTCTGTGGAGGGTGGTGATGTCTCTGTGGAGGTGACGTCTCTGTGGTGGTGACGTCTCTGTGGAGGGTGGTGATGTCTCTGTGGAGGGTGGTGATGTCTCTGTGGAGGTGACATCTCTGTGGTGGTGACGTCTCTGTGGAGGGTGGTGACGTCTCTGTGGAGGGTGGTGATGTCTCTGTGGAGGGTGGTGATGTCTCTGTGGAGGTGATGTCTCTGTGGAGGTGACGTCTCTGTGGTGGTAACGTCTCTGTGGAGGTGACGTCTCTGTGGAGGGTGATGATGTCCCTGTGGAGGGTGGCGATGTCTCTGTGGAGGTGACGTCTCTGTGGAGGTGACATCTCTGTGGTGGTGATGTCTCTGTGGAGGGCGGTGATGTCCCTGTGGTGGTGACATCTCTGTGGTGGTGACGTCTCTGTGGAAGGTGGTGACATCTCTGTGGAGGTGACGTCTCTGTGGAGGGTGGTGATGTCTCTGTGGAGGTGACATCTCTGTGGTGGTGACGTCTCTGTGGAGGTGACATCTCTGTGGTGGTGACGTCTCTGTGGAGGGTGATGGTGTCCCTGTGGAGGGTGGTGATGTCCCTGTGGAGGGTGGTGATGTCTCTGTGGTGGTGACGTCTCTGTGGTGGTGACGTCTCTGTGGAGGGCAGTGTTGTCCCTGTGGAGGGCGGTGACGTCCCTGTGGACTGGTCACTGGCCCAGCAGGCTTCCTGTCTGTCCCTCTCTCTGTGGGGTCGGGGCTGGGCAGACTTCCAGTCAGTTAGTCATAAACGTCCTGCAAACGAGCCAGTACCAACCTTGATGCCACCCCAGCCCTGGTTCAGCAGGAAGTCCACTGGGGAGACCACCCCCGCCTTGAACGGGAACCGCAGAAGGAAGTCCAGCTCTGCCGGGATCAACTCCTTCTTCATGGACAGAACCTGCGGAGACCGAGCGGCACCACGTGGAGGCTGCCATCCTGGGAAAGGGGTAGGGGGAAGGTGGACGCTGCCCTGGGACCAGACGCCTTGTCCTGCCCCTGAGGACCGGACAGACCACAATAGTTTAATTTTATTATGTTGTAAAATACATATAACATGAACTTGTCACCAATACGAAGCTCTGGTGGCCTAGTGGCAAGATGCTGCGCTGCAATCCCAAAGGCAGGCAGTTCGAGGCCACCAGCTGCTCCGTGGGAGAAGGAGGGGCAGTCTCCTCCTGTGTAATTAACTGCCTCTGACAACGCGCTGGAGGGTCAGCTGTGGGTCCGTTGTGACTCTACAGTAACAACAACAGACATTTGTACATGTACCAGGCTGTGCAAGCACTACCTCTATCTTGTTCCAGAACATTCTCCACGTCACACAGGAAACCCATCCAACTGCATTAGGTCTCCCTTCCCCCACTCTCACTCCTGATGACCACTGACCTACCGTCCACACACACCTCACGTGCACACCGTCTGCACGTGGTGCCGCAGCCCTGGGCGTTCAGGGCGGTGTGACTGGCCCCAGGCCTGCTACACCGTCACGCAGCTCTGAGCTGGGACTGCCCCACAGCTGCCCCTCCAGTGGTTTTCAGAGGCTGGAAATCACACGGGAGGACGCTGCCCATCCCACCGAGCAGCGGCGGGACACAAACCCCAAGCCTTCTGGCTGGTAGTGCAACCGGCCACGAGTTTTGTGTTGATTTTTAATGTGAATGGGGGCCGACCTCTGACCTTTTGGTAAGGAGCCCAGTGCTTCACTGTTGCGTCACCAGCACGCCTTAAGCCCTGCTTTAAATATAATGAGAGGCTGTGACCTTGAAAAATGCTCTTTAATTACACCAGCACCCACCTTCAAGAGCTGCTATCAAGATCCGGGAAGGCGGAGACTCCTAACAATACGCACATGAGAAAAACACACGTAACTAATCAGAACAGTAAACCACACACGTCATCTCTTTACTTGCCAAGTAAAGATGAAGCTGGAACAGTGACTGAGAAAAGTAGCTGCTTTTAATAAACAAAAGCCCTCCTATGATACGGAGAGCATTCTAATAATGGATGGTTAGAAATGTTTCCACTTTAAAGAACTTTTTGTTGTGGTTTGAGTGAGAGTTTACAGAACAACTTGGTTTTGCATCTAACCATTGGTACCAATTGGACTTCTGACATTGTTTGCAAGTCTCCCAGGGTAGCAGCACTCTCCCCACTTCCTCTCTGTAGTTCCCATTTCCGCTCAGCCTTCTAGCCTCCCCTCTCCTGCCGTCTGCTTTACCTGGGAAAATGCTGCCTTTTTCCTCTCCTATGGCTGTTTGCTCTACGGGCTATGCTCGTCCTGGTGTTATTCATCACCTGACAGGCCTGTCTACTGTCTGACTGGAAGCTGAATCACAGAGTCCAAGCTTGAAGGACAGCCTAAAGTCATAGTCTCAAAGGTTCCACCCGTCTCTCTGAGGTCAGGAGATCTGGTTTCTTACAATTTTGAGTTTTGTTCCCCATTTTTCTCCCACTCTACCTGGAACCGTCTAGGGTCATCCCTGTTACATGGTTTGATTGTTGAAGGTGATGCCTGTCACCAGTAAACACTCTTATCTACAATCTTCTCAGGGCAAAAGAGGCCCACAGAGCGCCCTGCTTGCTCCCTAACTGCCTCCAGGCCCCTCAGGTCCCCGTCACAACGTCCAGGACGTCACCAGCCTCCCAGCCCTGGTAACAATGCAGGTTTTGCACAGGGTCTGGGGCGAGCCTGAGAACCTGCATTTTCAGCAAGCCCAGGGGGCCTCCCTCGGCAGCAGACATTACCTGGAACGTCACCTGGGCCAGGAAGATGAGCTTGTCGCGCTCGAAGAGGCCACGGGCCGTGTACATGTAGACAGAGTAGGTGATCTCATCTGTCAGGTTGATGACACGCTGCTTCACGTCCTCTGAGGGTGCGGTCCTCTGGATGGCCTTCTCGAACACCACATTGAAGGCCTGGGGGGCAAGGGGGGCTCAGTGGTGGAGGGGCGGTCCTCTGAGGGCCTGGGGGTGGGAGGGGTGGTCTTTGGAGGGGCAGGTGGGGTGGAAGCCCTGCTGGACAGGTGGACAGTGCAGGTGCTGGCAGGTCAGGAGTCCCTGGTCTGAGCCTGTCCCCATCTCTCTAGCCACCCCTCCACCCCACACCTGCAGCCTGGGCCAGATGGCGGGGAGACCAGGGCCCAGCCTGGCCGCAGGGGCAGCGCACCTTGAGCGAGAACTGGTAGATGGGATTGATTTTGTTGAGGTCATTGAGAATGAAATAGAGGAGGGAGGCCCTCTCCGCCGCCGGCCGGTAGTTCTCTCTCGCCTCGTTGATCTTCGCCTCGGTGATCTTGGCCTCATGGACCTCGTCACAAACAGGGGGCCTGAATAGGACTGGCCCTGGGGCCCCACTATTAGCAGCACCCCAAACCCTGAGGGTTCTTGGACTTAACCTGGGGCATTTTGGAGGAGAGGGGACCCTCTCCGAGCCCTGGGCCCCAGGAGTTCACTGGTGTAACTGTGGCCTCTTGTCACTTAAGCCACCTCCCCTGCAGGACAGAGTGCAGAGCGCCCCATTACTGGCCAGGCCCCATGTGGATATGCCCCACAAACGTCAGCCCACCTTCTCCTCGATCTCACTGGCCGTGTGCTTGGTGGTCTCCAGGTTCTCCACTAAAGCTGTGTCCCCCAGGAAGTTCCCCGAGGCAGCCGACAGCCGGGCCAGCAGCGAGTCTTCCAGCTCTTTGAGGACAATCTTGAACTCGTTCTGAGACTTGGTGAGGTTCGCCTGTGGAGACGGGGAGACCCAGAACGGTCGGTGGTGGCAGAGAGCAGGGACAAGGGGGACTCCTGTCCCAACTCCCAGTCTTGCCCCCTGAAGCTCAGAAGCACCCCCTCCCAGAGTCCTTGGGGTCAGGGTGCGAGCCGTGTGGGGTGTGTGCGGACATGGGCTGACCCTGGACTCCTCTGAGCCCCTGTGTGTCTGCCCGAGGGCAGCGAGGACTCTGGTCAGGCTGCTGAGTGCTGCTACAGGGCGGGCAGCGCTGTCCAGGGCGCATCGGTGGCTCAGTACTAGAACTCTCGTCTTCCCGTGCAGAAGACCTGGGTTCGATTCCCTGCCAAGGGCCCTCATGCCCTGCCACCACCTGTCTGTCAGTGGGGGCTTGTGTGTTGCTCTGCTGCTGGATACGTTTCACTTAGACAGGTCTGGGGTCCCACCTGTCCTGGGGCTCCCAGCTCCCACCTTCAGTCAGTCTTGACTTCAGGGCATCCAGTGCCACCAACAGTGCACCCCTGTGACACCCGTCACGTAAATGAAGTTCCCCGTTATCTAGAGCTGCCCTTGGGCACTGGATGACAGGCAGCTGAGCAGAGGGGAGACCTACTCTGTACAAGAATCAGCTCACACAGTGTGGACGTGACAGTGCGGAAAGCCGAGATTCCTCAGGAGAAGCAGAGGAGCACGCTGGAGTGGAAGCGGGGGTCAGGGACCCTCACACAGGCCTGGCGTCCCCTCTGTCCTGGGGCTCCTGGCCCCCACCTTCCATGAACCCCAACTCCGGGCCCCCTCTGTCCTGGGCCCTCTTCTGCCCCAGAGCCCTCTCTGACCAGGGTCCTCCTCTATCCTGAGGTCCCTGGCCCCCACCTCCCGTCCACCCTGATTCCAGGCCCCTCACCTTCAGCTGCTCGAGGTCGGGGCGCTCTTTGGCGACCACTGCCGCCAGGAGCTGGTCTTCGAGCCCGTCTCTGGTGACCAGGAAGTTGATGAGGGTGCACTGGGCCTGCATCTCGGGCTTGTAGTGCGGGTTGAAGTACTTGGTGTGCAGGATCAGGTGGAAGTTGGGGTGGTACTCCACCTCCTTGTCCCCGATCTTGATGTACCTGGCAGTGAGTGGAGGGGGGCCAGGGTCACAGAGGCGCAGCCACCTTGCACCCGGCCCCTGGTTCTGGCGCTGCCTCGGAGGTCACCATTTTGAGGCCTGGCAATGTCTGCTTTGGTGGAACAGACCTGGCACGGTGCTGCCCCTGGGCGGCGCTGAGGCCTGAGGCTTCACAGTGGTCACTGGCAGAGGCTGTGACCTGTGACCCTGGCCCTGGGCAGCACTGAAACGTGGGGCTTCACGGTGGTCACTGGCAGAGGCCTGGGACCCTACCTCTGGCCTCTGACTTGGGACCTTACAGGAGACGCACCCTCTTTCCTGGGTGGGACCAGTCAGAGGTGGAGGTCGTGGTGGTGTCATGAATGCACTAAAGCCACTGAATTAATCCCGTGAAAATGGTTACTTTTATGCTGTGTAACTTTCCCCTCAACAAGAGCAAAATAAGTAACACAGATTCAGGACATGCAAAATGCATCAAAATCAAAAGAAGAAAAACGTCTCCGTAAGGAGATGGCCCTCAGTAGGACACTCTCTCTCTCTCTCTCTCTGGACCTCTTTCCCTCCCTCTTTCTTTCTCTCTCTGTCGTGTTACTGGCCACTAGGAACTGACTCTCAGTTGACTCTCTATTGGGCTTCTGAGGTAAATCGCCTGGGGAGGGGGCAGGGAGGAGATTTGCCCATCTGTCACCCACAGAGCAGCTGGTGGATTTGAACCCCTGGACTAGCAGCACAACTCCCCACGGACTATGCCTCCTAAGCTCCTCGTCAGGGGTGTGGGCCCCCCAGTTCCTAGTCCTGATCATCAGGGCAGTCAACCCCCAAACCACACACAGCAGGTTCCGACTCCCAGTGGCCTGCAGGTCCCTGAGGCTGCGAGCTGACAGGAATGTTCTCTTGTGATGCACTCGAACTGACGGCCTTTCCCTTAGCATCCCAAGGCCTTGCCCACCGCACCACCAGGAGAGCCGAGGCAATTCCAGGAATGTCCCCAGCAGACATGGCCTGGCCTCGTTTCCAAGGACGTTCACCCCCCGGCTGACCCCCAGCCTGAAGGCCACAGCTTACTTTCCCTTTTTGATGGTGTTTCGGCCCAGAAGGGGGTCCAGCACAGGGTCCACGGTCTCGCCAATGTTTTCGATGAGCAGGGTGTCACCTTCTGAGATGGCCTGCTCGATGATGTCCAGGTAGCTGTGGGCACACAGAAGCGGTGTTGTCCTGCTCGACACGGCCAGCTGAAGCCATGGAGTCCCTGTGGACTCACGGTGCCCCGTGCGTTACAGGTTAGAATGGCTTCTTTGGCAGGGCGCCGTTTGCCAGGCCTTTCATCCGTGGCACTGCTGATGAGTTCAAACGGCCAGATGTTTGGTTATGAGTAGAGGGCAGAGGGTCCAACCCAGGGACCGTAAGACACAGTGACAAGGGAACAGTGATCAGCTGCTGACTTCTCAGAGAAGGCACACGAGAAGAGGACCACAACACACTCCCTCCCAGAACCTGACAGTGAGCCTGTTTCCAGAGTTCAAGGAAGAGCTGAGTTTTCATTCTGTCACTGTTACCCACAAGGGATGAAAGTGAAGAGAAAACAGCCAGCCCTGCGCTCCTAAGCATGGGGTTCCCAGAGACTTGCACCCCTTTGAGAAATGGGGGATGCCTGGTGTCCACAAACACAGGAGCCCATCCAGCCTGCAGGGGGCCCATCCGGCCTGTGGGGGGCTGTCCTTCCTGTGGGGGGGCCTGTCCTTCCTGTGCGGGTCACCCATCTGGCCTGTGGGGGACCTGTCCAGCCTGTGGGGGCCCATGCTGCCTTTGAGGATCCGCCCAGCCTGTGGGGGCCCCGTCTTGCCTACGGGGGACCTGTCCTGCCTGCGGGGGGCCTATCTGGCCTGTGGGGGGCCCATGCTTCCTGCAGGGGACCCACCCGGCCTGAGGGAGGCCCGTTGGCCTGCAGGGGCCCACGCACCTCTTCTGGCCCAGACGGATGGCCTTCAGGTCACTCCCATACTTGCTCTTGATCCACTTGATCCCCTGCAGCTGAGCATCGACGATGAGGGGCCAGCGCTCCGTATTGCACAGGATGGTGGCATTTTCCGTGGACATGCGGTCACTGGGAAGGCCCTGGTTGTTCCAGGTGGCCACATCCGCATCGTCCGTCAGCAAAGACAGGGGGTCCAGGCCTTCCGTGGTGGGGATGGGGACCTGTGAGGGGGCCAGGGAACCTCACAGCAGCTGGTCGTGGTGGTCCCGAGCTCAGATGCCCTGCTGACCCCTCTCCTGGAGTGGTCCAGGCAGGAGCCATGTCCACGGCGGCCATGCTGGGCCACAACCCGGACCCCAGAGGGGCTGAGGCCTCCTCTGGGATGTGTGGTGCCCCTCCCTGGTTGCCTGGATAACGCATACACCTGAGTCTCTCACCTCTAATTTATTTATGTAAGGGACCCAGAATTTCTCCATCAGCTCGTTTCGGTATTTCTTGGTGAAGTAGCCCACATAGGAAACGAAGGCGGAGATCAGCAGAACATCCCCACACAGGGTGACCCCCTGCTTCTTAAAGTTCTCCACGGATTCTGCCCAGCGCACGTTCTCGGAGGCCAGTCCTCCCACCAGCCTGCGGGGGGTGTGAGCGGTTAGAGGGGATCAGAGATGCTTTGCGGTGGGGTTGAAGACCAGTGTGGTGCTGTCCACCCTTAGACTTTGGGGGCCTTGGGCATATGGAGTTCAGTGAAGGAGCTGAACGTGGACCATGATGGGGTGACACTTGCTGGGGAACGCCACAGCCTTGTGCCCTGCACCCCGACATCTGCACCGATGCCTCAGCCACAGCAGTGTTTTTTGTCATTTTTCTGGCATGCTGAGCATGCCGTCTGGACGCACTTGGGTAAAGGTTTCTGACTGGAAGGGGTGGAGGTTGAGGTCAGTGTAGGTGTGGTGACCACAGCACAGTGTGGTGTCCAGGGGGTCACAGGGTTCCAATGACTGATTCTGGGGAAGTAGGTTGTGAGGTTTGTCTTCTGAGGGGCCTCTAGGTGGACTGGAGCCAATGTGCATGGCCATTCCCACCAGCCAGGGACCCTGATATTCTCGTGATTGGAAAGTTAGACACAGGGACACAGTGTGAGATCATGTGGGATGGAGGTAGAGATTAGAGCGTGTAGCCACTAGGTAAGGACTGGCAGCAGGTGTGGCCACAAGCTGGGAAAGAGGGGACTGACTGCCCACCAGAGCCTCTCGAAGGAGTCCCCCCTGCCTACACCACTGTTCACAGACATCTGACCCCTAGAGCGAGAGAAGGAATGTCTGTGGTTTGAAATCCTCCAGTAGCCCAGTAAGCCAGCACAGTGCTTAAAGAGTGAGACAGCACAGGGCTGAGACAGCACAGGGCACAGTGAGACAGCACACAGTGAGACAGCACAGGGCTCAGACAGCGCAGGGCTCAGACATCACAGGGCTCAGACAGCACAGCACACAGTGAGACAGCACAGCCAGTGCTCAGACAGTGCAGCGCACAGTGAGACAGCTCAACACTCAGACAGAGCAGCGCACAGTGAGACAGCATAGCGCTCAGACAGCACAGGACACAGTGAGACAGCACGGCGCTCAGACAACACAGCACACAGTGAGAAAGCACAGGGCTAAGACAGCACAGCACACAGTGAGACAGCACACAGTGAGACAGCACAACACACAGTGAGACAGCACAGGGCTCAGACAGTGCAGTACACAGTGAGACAGCACAGCGCACAGTGAGACAGCAACAGCACTCAGGTTGATGCCACAGTGTACACCCAGGGCAGGGGGCCCTCCCTTGCCCCAGTCCCTGAGCTATGCCACTTCCAGGAGACTGGAAAGGTGTGCCTGGGGCAGGGCTGGGAGTCGCTACCTGTTGGCCAACGAGATCACTCTGTTGGTGGCGTCGGCCTCTTGCTGGCACTTGATCTTCTCTGCCGTGGCCTTCTCAAATGCTGATGTGAGGTTGCTCAAGTTGGCATTGAGTTCCTGGAGAACAGTGGGGTGAAAAGGTCCAGATGCCAAGCCAGTCCCTGGAGAAGGGCACTGTGCTTGGAAAAGCGGAGGGTCAGTGGAAGAGGAGCTGGGCCGACACGGGCCACACTGGCGCGCAGGGATCGTGCGGCTGGGGCAGGACGGGCAGGGCTTCGTTCTGCTGTGCGTGGGGTCGCCGTGCATCGGAGATAATTTGATGGTGCCTGACAACAAGTGGCTCCCAGGGACAAGGCTGAGTGTGCCCCCCAAGCCCCCGATCGTGCCAGCACACCCCACATGCAGACATGGAGGCCTCCCTCCGCGGTCCCACGGGCAGGCGGCCAGCTCTCACCGCTATCTTGTTCTTGATACGGGACAGCTTCTCCTGGGCCTCGGCCAGCTCCGCGTTCGCCTCCTCCAGGGCCTGCCGCTTGGGGGCCACGTCGCAGTAGACCTCGTAGAAGCGGACGATGTTGATGCACCAGGAGCACAGCCCGGCCGCGGCCGTGGACTTGGACCGGATGAACTCGGGGTCGAACGTGGGGTTGCCTTGGTAAGGCCTGCAGGGGGGACGGGAGGTGCTGACCGGGGAGGGCAGGGCCAGGGTTTGTTCCCAACCCTGCGTGCTGCGTGGACACCCTGCTTGAGCCACCACAAGGGGGTGTGCGGAGTTTTGTTCCATTTTGTCTGACATCTTAACACCCCCCCCCCGAGTGTACCCACAAAAAACGGCGCCTGCAGCGAGCACTGAGCTCACCTCCGGAGCTCTGACGCCCGATGTTTAGATGACTGGACCGCAGCGTCAGCTCACCAGCATAGGACAGGCCTGTCCACCTTTCACCCAGCACACGCGGCGCTCCACGGCGTGCCCTCGGCCCCTCCCTTGCCTTCGCTGATGACCAATGAGGTCCAGGGTGATTCTGGCATTGTCAGTTTCTTCTCTTGTCCACACTCAGCAGAGCAGGACACAGTCGGCCTGCTCCCATCCACCCTGCAACCCACTGCATCAAGTCAATCGTGACTCTCAGCGACCCCCCCTCCATCAATTTCCCAGACCAGTAGCCTCTACAGGAGGACACTGGCCATCTTTCCTCGGCAGAGTGGCTGGCAGGTTCGAACCAGTGACCTTTCAGTTGCCAGCGTACCCTGTAACGCCCTGAACCACTGGGGCTGCGTATCCCTTGATTTCACCCACAGAGACTCTCAAACTTGGCACCATTAGTACCATCTCAGAGGGCGCTCTGGTGGCCTCGTGGTAAGAAGCTGCACTGCAACCCCGAAGGCACGCAGTTCAAAGCCATCCCCATGCCTCCTCCTGGGTGAGTTACAGCCTCTGAAAACCCCCTGGAGAGTCAGCTGCGAGTTGAAGGCATACACCAAGTGTCAACTCGCAGTCTCCTCACAGCTGGCACGCCCCACACCTGGCATGTGTTAGGGACATTGTTGCTGTCATACTGAACAGGATGCAGCGTAAGAGGGACAAGGAAGAAAGGCCTAGCACTCGCAAATGTCATCCAGTAACAACCGTGTGAATCACCATGGTCTGGTCTGCTGGTCAACACTGGGGTTGTGGAGTTTCATTCCATCACGCACAGGCTGTCAGGAGTCAGGGCCCACCTGTCTAATCAGTTAAAGGCCTTAAGAGCAAATCCTAGGGCGCTCTGGTGGCCTAGTGGCAAGAGGCTGCACTGCAATCCCAGAGTACGTGGTTCGAATCCACCAGATGCTCTGCTGGAAAAGGAGGGACAATCTCCTGTACCAGTCAGGTCTGATTTGACAGCATGCGCCCGCGCGCGCACACACACCATTTAAAAAAATCCATTAAAAAAAAAAGAGCAAATCCTGTCAAGGTGACAGCCTTGGACGTCCTATGGGGCAGTTCTCCGTCCTGTGGGGCCGGTGGGGGTCACAGCAGCTGAGATGGCAACATCTACAGTGGGTGACATCTCTACTAAAGCAGATGACCTTTCATCATCACACGGGTGGGCCTTGCCCAATCAGATGAGAGCTGTAAGAGCCAATGCCGAGGTCCCTGCGGAGGAGGCTTCTGCTCAGGACAGAAGCAGAGCCATCCTGCCTGAGTGTCTCGCCTGCCCCTGACCTGAGGATTCTGGACTGGGCACCCCCGGGCCTGTGAGCTGTCCACCTAGAGCTCCACTGTGATCCTGCCCGCCCTGGACAGCCCAGGGGCTCTTTGCTGGGGTGCACTAGTGGGACAGTTGGAGCCCCCCAACCCCAGGATTCAGTCCCCGAATCCAGCCCTGACGCACTTGAACGCCTTCAGACAGGCCTCCGGGATGTGCTCCTTGTCGAACTTCTTCAAAGAGTCCAGGAAGGTGTCCACTTTGCCCATCATGATCTTGGCCGCCTTCCAGCTCTTGTCTTTCGGTATCTTGCCCCCAGGTGCGGTCAGGATCATGACGGCGGCCGTGACATTGACTACGGCGTCGGGAGGGGACCCGAAAGACTTCAGCTCCGTCAGGTTGTTCTGCACACAGTGGGAGGGCGCTTGTTCTGAGAGGGGATTTGGGCAGCCAGGAGACCAGGGGGCCTGCCCACGCAGGGTCTGCAGGGCCTCGCTCCCTTCAGCCTCCTCACCTTGTTCAGCGTGTCCAGGGCCTCCTGGGCTGCGAGCAGCGCCGGCTCTGCTTTGGCCAGGTCAGTCTCACAGGCCTTTTGCTTCTCAGTAACGTTCTGGAAGGAGGTTGGGTGAGAAGGGTCAGTCAAGCTCCTTCATGGGGACTGATTCTGGGGGAAGCCCTGGGACTAACCTCTCGACAGGTGGACAGAGCCAAGGCCCCTGTGACTGGAACTCATGGGTGACTGCCCCACCCTCTCCAGCCGCTTGCTGCATCCCTGCATCCTGTGTCCCTGAGTCCCTGCATCCCTGCATCTGTGTCCCCATGTCCCTGCATCCCTGTGTCCATGTCCCTGAGTCCCTGTGTCTTTGTACTGCTGAGTCCCTGTATTCCTGCATCCCTGTGTCTGTGTTTCTGCATCCCTGTGTCCTTAAGTCCCTGTATCTCTACGTCCCTGCATCCCTGAGTCCCTGCGTCCTTGTGTCCCTGAGTCACTGCATCCCTGTGTCCAAGTCCCTATGTCCCTGCATCTCTGCATCCTTGTGTCCCTGTGTCCCTGCATCCCTGCATCCCTATGTTCCTGCATCCCTGAGTCCCTGAGTCACTGCATCCCTGTGTCACTGAGTCCCTATATCCCTGCATCTCTGCATCCTTGTGTCCCTGTGTCCCTGCATCCTGCATCCCTGTATCTCTGTGTTCCTCTGCACTCACAAGGACAGACTGAGCTCTGTCCCGGCCTCTGTCCATCTGCCTCTTTGCCCTGTACCCCAGGGCTGGGGTCAGGGAGAACAGACCTCAGATTTCTTCCTGATTTCACATTTCCCAGGCTGAGGGGACCCCGGGACCACCAAGGCCCTTGTATCTTATTGTCTTTTGGTGGCTTGTGCCATCCATCCAAAAGGAACGTTCCAGAAGGTTTGTACTCTGGTACCTCAGTCCCTCACTAAGCGTGAGGAAGCCTTTCTTCATGTATGCACCCCTGCACACAGGCTCCCTTCATTCATTCATTCATGCAAGTGTGTTCATTCATACAGACACATGTATTTGATCACACACACTCATTCATTGATGTGTTCACACAATCGTGCACCCCTTCATTCATGCAGAAAGGCACACCTTCCTTCATTCACACAGGCAGGGGTTCG